ACTACGTCAACCTCGATGTTCGATCTGATTCTTCAGCTACCGACCACCTGGCCTATGGGGTCGATCTGGACACGTTCAAACGGTGACGTATGGCCTGCTAGGCCATGCCTCCCTCAAGAGGGTGTTCGACCGACGGGCTGCTATTCGTCTCAGCGATGGCTCTACCATAACATTTGACGTATTTGAGCCAACAAACAAACATAAGGCAAGTATTTTTGCTACAATAGGGAAATGGACATTTTCGTGATGAGCCTTTTCAGAGCGGTCTCGATCTTACCCTTGCGCTCACTCCAGGAATAGCCAACAGCAGTGAAAGCAACTATATTCGAACTTGTGTGCATTATGCTCAGGAACGAGGGTACGATTTAGGCGAAATAAAAATTCTCTTTTCCCTTTCCCAAACTCAACGTATTGATAGTGTTCCATGTTACTTCCTCTAAGATACGATCCTTCCAATAGATTACGGTATGGGACCTAACTAGGAGGTGTTTCATCAACGACTCTATCCTGGACTTCCAGCCATGTCCTACCAGGATTAGGTTGAGGGACACCAAGGCCTGGGAGCAGACTCCATTTAACCTTGGTTCTATCACCACCTATCCCAGCCAAGGCACGAGTTGCCTTTATTCTTCTCTTTGATTCTTCGAACTTTGGTAGGTGTCGTATTTTGGCTCAAATTTTGGGCAATCTCGGTCAAGTGACGCTCCCCATGATCCCCTGACTTACTATATCTTCTACCTTCAAAGGTTACGGTAAATCCTTTCAAATTGTTCAATTTCAGCTATCGATGTGCTGTTCTGAATCACTTGGGTGCACTTCATGATGTCAAACTTACAGGAAGCAGAATCTTCACATACGGTAAGCGGTCTTGAAGCTAATTGGTGGTCATGGCCGAATTACTCGTCAGACTTATAACTGTACACACATCAATTGACCTTGTCCTAGGCGGTACGGACGAGTTGCATGCAATGATGAATCAGCTGTTCAGTGATTATCCACGTTCGCATTTTATCAGTATCGGCTTCTCAATGGGGGCCAATATCACCGCTCGCTTCCTTACGCAGGTCTCAGAAGAACAGAGGTACCGTATTATTCAATTTTGAAATCCGATCAAGGTTAAAAGTGGAGTGACAGTTGCGGAAGGCATCAGGATGACCCCCTGCTTCCCACTTCGCCTCTATCTATTTATGGGTCAGGAGTTGCCATCAGTTTGTTGCTTCGTTGAAACCAAGTCGCAGCTAGTCGTGTCAGTGCCATTCCCCCTCTATAGCTGGTAGATTACAAGTAGTGCAGCAATCAACAACTGGTGGTCTAGTTTCGACGAGAGCATGGCGCATTATGACCCATATAGTAATTTACAGAATCGGTTAACGTGATGTGATTCGAAAAGAAACACTTTTCTTGTGTTTATCAAAACTGGAACTAGGATGGGCTTGAAAGGTTGCAAATTTCCCTTACGATCTTCTTAATGCCGATTCATTTCAGGAGTCGTATTTTGCTAGGCTTGAGTGTATGTCAGGGATATTCGGCAACCACATCCGCGCCCATGTATCACGATTGGGAAAATGGACGACGTATCTATAACTATTTCATTACTGAGAACATGAAACGTCTCCTTCGACGTAATTATGAGCAAGCAGTTGCACCTCATGTTGCCAGTGGGTTGATTGATGAACAGGTACGTGACTGGGCCATACAGGTTGCTTAGATGTAGATGCTTGTAACCNGTCTGCCATTTTGCCCCTATTTGTCTCTATTACTAAGAAGTACAATAAAGTTACAGCGGTAAGAATGTGAATAATCTAAAGCCAAAGTGGGATAATCTCATTCTGCTCCCACTCAAGGGCGCAATTCGCTATAGCCCTGGGTTTCACTCCAACATGGCAGCCTACGGGCTGTGGTATCCACGAATAGAAGTGTAGGCACTGAATGGTACACTAGGTAGGAAAAGAAAAAAGTTATCAAAACCCGCAAGATATATCCTTGTTTACTAAGCAGCGGACGTTATTCTCAAGCGGCATACCACTCGGCGAGACAACTAACTAACAATTAGACAACTATCTAACGGTCGTAGTCTGCTTGAATCAACTATAACCATGTGCATTCTACTCTATGTAGTTGTAGTTCTCGATCATCTGTGCTGTAGTGTAGTTAGCTAATTTACTTAGGGGCGGGGCAACCTGTTAAGGCGTTCGTGCCGGACTTTGTGTCCTAATCACGCCCTTTCTAGGCAGCATTTCACAGCGACAACGGCATGTGTCATCGTCTTCTTCAGCATTCGAACACCTTTTCGGTGGCTTTTCAAAGCCAGATTATTTTTGAAGGTGTCGTTTAAAGCTCCCCATATTTCAGCGTCTCTGGTCAGCCACATCCATTGTGGCGTTTGACGAAAACTATAACCGTCGAGTGGCTGGTTTCCAAAATCTCGAGTCATTCTACGCATGGTGTGATTCGTTACCACATCTCTCTAAGCTGCGAGTGCCAATGATATTTTTAAACGCCGAAGATGACCCCATCGTTCCACGGTGTCTTTGGGAACCAGTGAAGGTACAGTTCGATTTCTTTCTGCGTATGACAACTTTCATGAAAAGGATTAAGTTAGGTAGTTTGCTTGTGGTTATAGCCGAGAAACCGTTGTCGAGTGCATGCCTGCGACTGTAGGAATTCGGATTTTCGTTCAGTAGTAGAGCTATGACGTAAAAGCTTGCGCGCGTAAAATCAATACCCATTTTATGGAGTGGAATGGGGGGACGGTCAAGTCGTGGGGCC